TCTGAAGGGATACTGAAGGCTCCTCTTAACGGTGTTTATTTCCCGAAGCATCTTGAGCTAGGAAGGGTTATATCACCTATCGGGGCACGTTGAACATGGAAGGATCAGTTCAGTTTTCTTCCTTTACCTTTCCCTTATTCTCAACACAATGTGAGAGAATAAGGGCCCTCTTCCTCTTTGTTTTTTTTTTCATTTTCGACTTTGCCCCCATACAATTTTGTGGAGAGCTTGTACAGATGTATATGGCAGCTTTCGCTCCACAATGTACCCTTGTTGTTGCTGTTGATGTCAAGAAGGCACATTTTAATGTTCATTGAGGGAAAAATTACAAATGCAGATGCCACTAACTTGGTGGTGGCCTTAGGAAATAGGTGAATTTTCATATGGATTCTCATTAGATATATATGAAATAGGGAATGTTCCAAATCTATTTCTATAATTATTTAGTGGAAACTTTCATAGCAAAGATCTGGCTTGTCTGTCTTGCCTGCAATTAAAATTCATTGCTTCTTTTTTGTTTGATCATCTTGAGATAATATACACAATATACATATCTTTGCTAAGGTCATCTCAGCAATCATTTTTTATTTTTTTATAATATCACTCCGTTCTAAAAAGAATGATGAAGATTCGTCGAGTAAGTACCACTGTTTATGGCTAAGTTTTAGTTAGCTAGAGAGAAAAAGGCTGAGTAATTTCTTCATATCTGGCTAAGTTTTAGGGCACCACATACTCATGCAGCAGCCTGAAATGAAAGCATCACTAGTTTATGTCTTGACCAAAATAGGAATTTCGCGTGAATCAACAAGGACCACCTTAAAAGGCTCATTCCCGGGGTGATTTTATAGGGAGTTTTGTTCTTTTCTCATAGTATTTAGAAATATGATTTCTGAAAAGGTTAATATAATTGGAACAAAGATGGTAAACAAAGATATTACTCAATAAAATTGCAGCATAAAAAGTAAAAAGAAAAAACCATCCAAAGATGATTTTTTTTACATTAATGTCTAAACACATGTTTAAGGTTCTCACAAATGGAACTAATATATGTCTTGTAGTGCCAATAAAAGAACATAGATGGCTACTATTAACATTAACTATAAATAAGTAAAGAAGCTGATTAGCTCTCAGCTTTCTTTCTTTCTTTCAACTCTCTCTTAAACATCAAAGAAAGGATTATATTTTAGTCCCTTGTCAATGCTACTATTAACATAAACTTGACCACCATTCTTCAAGCTTTTGGTTTGTGTAGAATGAAATGTATGATGATGTTGTTGTGGAGCAAAAAGATTTGGATGGCAATTTTCATCATCATCATAATCATCTTCATCAAATGTTGTCCATCTTTTTGAGTTTTGCTTCTCCTCTTTGGTAATTACAACTTTTGAGTTTCCTCCAACATGGTTCTTGAATTCCTTTCTTACAACATCCAAAACGACGAATCCATATTGATCACACCATTTTCTGAAAATGTCATCAAGGAAACAAGAACAGAACAATTAATCTGATGTGATGTATATTATAACTCATTTTGCCTATGTTTGCTCAGACTCTTCAAAATGCTCGAACAACACAGTTTCTCTGAGTTCGAGCAACATAGGATGTTACACGACTTTTGAAATTGCAAGTGTTTAAGTACAAAGTGTGCTTACTTAGGGAAGAACTTCTCTAGATCAGCCTTGTCAACTGGAAGCCTAGTTGAAATTGCTTCAATTTGATCATCTCTGATGTAAGAAGATACACCACTGTTTAGTAAAATCCAATCAACAAGAAAGAGTACAACAACAACAACATACACAGTGTATAGTTCCACAAAGTGTGGTCCGACAACAACAGATAGTAACAGAACAGTACTATAACAGAATAATACGATAGTCGAAGTACAAGAAACTGTGATAGTAACAGAAATTGAAGGACAAGAATATGTTCTTAGCTTACGTTAACTCAACACTTGCATTTTTGGCACCAAGTTCTGTTTGAATTCGTGATAGCTCTTTCTTGATACGGTCTCCTAAAACCTTTAAGGGTGCAACAAAAAAAACAATTTCAGATTAGGATCATAGAGAGGTTTTAAAGAATAAATGATTGTGCATGTGTATGAATGAGAGACCTTATCGACAAAGAAATCCGAGGGGGCACCATTAGGATGCAGCTTTCTTTTGATCTGCTTAGTGTCTGGACCTTCTCCGATTGGTTCAGCAACAAGCTGACCTAAGTAAGCTCCACCGTCCGACTTCTCATCAAGTGACAGTGGAGCTGTTTCATCCTCAGAATCATTCTTCTTCCACTTCTTGAATCCATCAAATCCCCACTGTTTCTTCCCTCCTGATTTCGACTTTCCTTCAGATTCAGGCTCACCGCGATGTTGATCATCAACACCAAACAGTGCCTTGAAAGGTTTCTTTAGCTTCTTCACTTTCACAGGTTCATTAGGCAAGCTCTCCACCATCAAAATAGACTTAGTTTCACTATCTTTTTCTCTCAAATGAGTATTCCAAAAGGGATTCTCTGTCGACTCTGCCAATTCATTTCTCTCAAAACAATTTTCACTAACTGGATTAAGTATCCCTCTTTCCTTTTTGGATGATGCAAAGCTAAAAACTGAAGCAGCCCCTTTGATTTGCTCCTTAATAGCTGAAGAAGTTTGCTTTTGCTTATCTTTCGAGCTCGATATCGAATTCTCTTTGCCAAGATTAGATTTTTCATCCTTCAAATCTATAACAGACCACTCATCATCTGTAGTTTCTCTCTTTGATCCAACTACAACATGTTTTGCCTCAATCTCAGCTCCTTGAACTGCTAGCCTTTGCAATAATGGCCTCTTTGATGAATGATACTCTTCCTCTGATATACATTTTGCATACAACAACTCCTTCAAGAAGAAAACACCACCATATAAAAATTTAAGCTTTACAGGAAAAATCAAGAATCTATAAAAACAAAAACAAACAACCAAAAGAACAAAGAAAAAACAAAAATCTCCCAAAAGCTGAAATTTCACTTTTATTTGGAAAATGTAACAACAACATACCCAAGAGTAAGGAAGATAGAGTGTACGCAGACCTTAACCTTAGATATATGTTGTTTTCAATAGACCCTCGGCCCTTACATGAAAAAACACAACAACAACATACCCATTATAGTCCTACAAAGTGGGGTCTGAGGAAGGTAGAGTCTATGCCGACCTTACCCCTAAGTCGGAGGTAAATTGTTTTCGATAGAACCTCATCTCTTACATGAAAAACAACAAAACTTTAACCCCAAACTCCTAAAAGCTGAATACTTAGACATGAACTCCTTCAAGAGGAACAACCATTAGAAAAGGTCAAGCTTTATATGAAAAAACAACAAATAGATAAACCCCAATTCCCAAATGATGAAAATTCAGTTCAATTTGGAAAATTACAAATAAATTGAGCTTATCAACAATCCCTCCACCAAATGACACAAATTTCAAGAATTGACACATAATGAAACAAAGAAAAAAAAGAAGGGGAAATTCACCTGCAAGAAGATCAACTTATCCCTCAAGATTGAAGAATGTTCATAATCAGCAGGAGACGCGATAAGCGTATCGAGAAGATGTGATCTGAAAGCAGAAACTTCAGATTCAGCCAAGATCCCTTCTTTACAAAGCCCCATCAAGTTAAGAATCTGATGAAAAGATTCTTGTTGCCATTTAATATTATCCGATTGTTGCTTCGATAACCTCTGCTCAGCAGCTGCAATCGCAGGTATTCGCCTTTTCTTGAACGGAAATGGAAGAATAGTTTTGCAAAGAGAAGTAATTGAATCATGGAGTGAACTATAGTATGTTGGTGTGTATGAATAAACCATTCTTGAAAATCAAAAAAGAAGCTTTTTTTTTCTTTACAATGAGATTTTTTTTTGATTTGAGAATTTAACCTATAGTTTTTTTGTATTTAAATGTGATTTTTTTTCTTGTGTTTATGATTTGCTGATAATGGTGAGAGGCTTTTTGTTTGAAGTTTGAAGTTTTTTTCCTCAAACGGTCAGTGGAAAAAACTAGCCGTTGGGAGTTTTAAAACGTTGGGATGTAACATCAAACGACGGCGTTTTATTTTTCTAGTTACAAGTTAGTGTGTTCATATTAATTAGGATTACCAACACTGTTTCTTCATCTTTAATCAGAGATTTCGGGTTAGAATCGCGCAAATTTGCATTTAGCAGGCTTAAATGTGTGTATTGAACACCGGATACGAAACCAAAAAATACTTCTAGTTCTTTTTGTTATGTGTAAATTTTAGTTTTAGTTTTTATGATATTTGACTAAATATATTTAACTTTTAGTTGTTTGATATGTGCACTTTTGATTTGTTACCTTGGATAATCACAAATTATTTGAAGTAATAACCGTTTTAACATTTAATTGTCTAAATCTATGTTACGATTTGTTAACACAATATCCATTCAAGGATATTTTATTTTCAAAATATTCTATGGTTATATCTATTTCTATTAAGATTAATATATCTAAATGTAAATTCATATCTGAATATTATGATGTGCATAAATTTTAGGAATCACATAGTTTTAATAAGAAATTACAATTGTTTATCCCTCTTTAGTTTGTAATTACATTAATCTCTTAAAAAGTAATACAAATCGAATACATTAATATATAGCTTGGATACATTAAAGAATATCTTAGATACATTATAACATAAACTCAATATATATGTAGCTTGGATACAATAAAAACTAGCTCCGATATATAATATGTAGTTCAAATACATTAAAAACTAGCTCGGATACATTATAAAATAAACTAGATACATAATATATAGTCCGAATACATTAAATACTGGTTTGAATATATTGATATTTAGCTCGAATACATCAAAGAAATAAGGAATTTTAGAGATTTTTAAGAATAGGAGGAGGTATTAAAAATAAGAGTAACATAAGACGTGTATTTCAGTAATTTTTCCATAATAATTAATGCGTGAATCTAAACGGAAATCTAAATAATTAAGATGTTGCACGAAGAAATTAGATATGAATAATAAGTAATTAAGTTCTCAAACTTCTCTAGTAACCAAGTACCAATGATACAATCTTCTTATTTCAAACTTCATCTATACAACAACGTTTCAGTTCCAAACAAGTTAGAGTCGGTTATATGAATCTTCATCCTCACTTTATGCCTCGGTTTCAGACAAATTGGGGTCAACTATATGAATCCCGATTTCTTTATTTAAGCTCATTTTATATCCCATATATACATTTTTTTCAAGTGAGAATCTCAATTCTGCAGCAAGGGCAACAAACATAATTCTCCAACCATGGAACCAAACAACATGAATGGAATTTGTGGTCACATAGCAAATGCATTAGGTTATCACCAACCTTGAATTTGCCCAAACAAATGGTGCATTCATCATTTTCGATATCGTTACGTTGCTTTATTACCCTGCTAAATGTCTTTATCCCATTCTGCTTCACTCCAGACATCTCTTTCTTCTGCAGAGTACTTGATTCTACTTGCCCATCTTCGACATCCTTGAATCTTTCGTCTTTACTTCTAGTCCTGTTTTCAATAAACACAACGAATAAGTATAACCTCATTCAGATCCTATAGGTTGCTCGGACTCACCAATATGCTGTCGTGCCCATGCTGGATCCATCAAGAAAAGTACTGCTTTTGGAGGATCCAATACGCACAGTCACACACGACAGTTTGAAGAGTCGGAGCAACAAAGCAGAGATTACATTAACATAAAATGTTTCAACAAGTACTTGGTTGTTGGTATGGAAAAACTTACACACACTAGTATCTATACCGAATCAATAGATACGAGACGTATGTACTGCGTACATACAATTTATCACTTGACGATAGTTAATCTCACATATTTGTTCGGTGTAAACATCCAATAAGCGATGGCAGCCTTAATCAACGAAATATTAGAAATGCTTGAACATCCAAGATTTCGATTTATACAATCCTAAGCATCTTTTATCCTTTAAGTTAGCAAAGACTTGAGCAGATTTAGTCCAATTAACGGCAGAAAACTAACGAACAAGGGAAAGTAACGGCTGAACAGTGAGCAGGCGATAAATCTTCACTTGCACCCCCCAAAAGAGAGTGGTTGAATCAAAATTTTGACTCGTGACAACAACAACAACTACGCCTCAGTGCCAAATAAGTATTTTGACTCGTGACTACAACAACAACTACGCCTCAGTGCCAAATAAGTTGGGGTCAGCTAGATATATCCTCATTTCGTCATTTAAGCTCACATCACAAGTTACAATTCCCCTGCATCAAGAGGCTAACTTTCCCTAAAGAAAACACCATTTCGGGCTTTATATCAAGAAGACCAAACCAGTGATTCCATAAGGAGAACGACAGCCCCACAGAATTGTTCCGAAACTCATGCTGTGTTACCAGAAACACATGCTGCTCACCGGAGAGGTTAAAAAAAAAAGCTCCTCAGTTAGAATGGACGAAACTTACTCAGTATCGAGACATGTCAAGCTCAGTTACGTATAGTTCAATTAGAGAGAAATGTCGAGTTCGGTTATGTATAACTCTGCCTGTAATTGAAACTAACTATACCTAAGAACAATTAGAAGCTAACTATATCTTCAAATATCTGTTTGGCTATGAAATCTGATCAGATTTGAGCCATTTCCCTCGTAAAATTTCCAAGTAAAATTAAATACATGTCCATACACAACTTCAAGTTGCAAACATCACAACTACCAAAACTCAAATGCTCAAGTTTCAATTTATCAAAATCTATGAGCATTGATAATAGAGAGCGTTTACCCTGAATTGTGGCTTCATAACGTTCCATAAACTTTCTTTGCAGCTTTTCAGTAATCAATTCCAGGATTACTTTTGATATCTTTCTAGCATTCCGACCACAACGCTAATATACGGTCATGTGCAAGTTTGAACATACATCAAACTTCCAACAGTGCAAATTCGGATTAGTTCAGCCCAGGGGCGGAGTCACCTTGTACGAAGGTGTTCATCCGAACCCTCTTTGGCGGAAAATTATATTATTTGTATATCGTTAAAATAATTTTATATATATATATATATGGTAAATGTCGAACCCCCTTCTCGGCTACTTCATATGGCTATTTCTACAGATTTTTGAGCCCCCTTATTAAAAATTCTGGCTCCGCCTCTGATTCAGCCAACTAGTACCAGGTACTAAGACCGAAAAAAGGGTAATACACACGAATCATCTCTATAACACAAGCAAAATATGCTCTCCAAGTTAGATTTTCGAAACTCATCAAGTAAGTAGAAACACGAAACACGAAAAAAGGAAAAGAACAAGTACACATCCTTCTCTCAATAACATAATTAAAGTAGCAATTAACTTCCAATTCTTTACCAAATTTTATACAGTAAAGTAGCAAAATGAGGTTAATTATTTACAAAAATTACCTTCTTAGCTTGTGATCCAATCTCTGCTTGGCTTCTCTGGTTTTTTCACCTAAATCCTCATTATTATATCCATGGCTTCCTATACTTCTCTGTTCTATCTGCTCATTCAAATGCAAAACACAATAAATATACTTCAAAATCAAATCAAAATTTGAAGTTTATTGATTCTACAACAACTATAAGTAAATAAATCATAATAATTGAATTCACAGTTAAATATCAAGTGAATTACCATCAGAATTTTTAGTAACGAGATTCAAAATATCTACGCACTGAAAAATCAACATCTCATATATATATATATATATATATATATATATATATATATATATATATATATATATATATATATATT